GTCGGTAGGTAGGTTGGTTGCATTGGTTGGTGTAGGTTGGTAGGTTGGTTGCATTGGTTGGTGTCGGTAGGTAGGTTGGTTGCATTGGTTGGTGTCGGTAGGTAGGTTGGTTGCATTGGTTGGTGTCGGTAAGTAGGTTGGTTGCATTGGTTAGTGTCGGTTGGTAGGTTGGTTGCATTGGTTGGTGTCGGTAGGTAGGTTGGTTGCATTGGTTGGTGTAGGTTGGTAGGTTGGTTGCATTGGTTAGTGTCGGTAGGTTGGTTGCATTGGTTAGTGTCGGTTCGTAGGTTGGTTTCATTGGTTAGTGTCGATTGGTAGGTTGGTTGCATTGGTTGGTGTAGGTTGATAGGTTGGTTGCATTGGTTGGTGTAGGTTGGTAGGTTGGTTGCATTGGTTGGTGTAGGTAGGTATGTTGGTTGCATTGGTTGGTGTAGGTTGATAGGTTGGTTGCATTGGTTGGTGTCGGTAGGTAGGTTGGTTTCATTGGTTAGTGTAGGTTGGTACGTTGGTTGCATTGGTTAGTGTCGGTAAGTAGGTTGGTTGCATTGGTTAGTGTCGATTGGTAGGTTGGTTTCATTGGTTGGTGTCGGTAGGTAGGTTGGTTGCATTGGTTGGTGTAGGTTGGTACGTTGGTTGCATTGGTTGGTGTAGGTTGGTATGTTAGTTGCATTGGTTAGTGTCGATTGGTAGGTTGGTTGCATTGGTTGGTGTAAGTAGGTAGGTTGGTTGCATTGGTTAGTGTAGGTTGGTAGGTTGGTTGCATTGGTTAGTGTCGGTTGGTAGGTTGGTTGCATTGGTTAGTGTCGGTAGGTAGGTTGGTTACATTGGTTGTTGTAGGTTGGTAGGTTGGTTTCATTGGTTAGTGTCGATTGGTAGGTTGGTTTCATTGGTTGGTTTCGGTAGGTAGGTTGGTTTCATTGGTTGGTGTCGGTAGGTAGGTTGGTTGCATTGGTTGGTGTCGGTAGGTAGGTTGGTTGCATTGGTTGGTGTCGGTAGGTAGGTTGGTTGCATTGGTTGGTGTAGGTTGGTAGGTTGGTTGCATTGGTTGGTGTAGGTTGGTTGTAGGTTGCATTGGTTAGTGTCGGTTGGTAGGTTGGTTGCATTGGTT